GGTCCCCTGAGGGTTGGCTCCCTGGAGGGTTTGCCATCACTGTTACCCTCAGACCACCCGTACTACTGCCTGAGGTAGCCCCCGCCTGACTGCCGCCATGACGAGAAGTAAATCGAGGCAGAGGCAACGGAGCTCTGCCCCTTTTGAGGTAACGGAGCTTGGCCTGCAACTCCGAGATGGTCATCTTCCTGCAATGAGAACATGACTCATACACGAACGCCACCCCAATGTGCTTAATGCCCAGACACCTGAGGCAGCGATCGTGTGAGTAAGTCAGGAACAAAACGATGTGATCGCTTGGCTCTGAAGCAAAAAGCTGAGCTGCTTAATTATACTTGCGCTGCGATCAGTAGCAGCTGGATGCAATCATCGAATGCCAATGTGCATTGGCTCGTTTAGTTACACTCGAAGTGGATTGGTCTCTCTAAGCGAGATCCCAATTCGTAGGTCACCGACATGACATGAAGTGACCGACTGAAAGGGAACTGTGGTTACAAGGTTTTTATAATTGTGGTTTTATAAGGTGCATTACATAGGCATAATTCATGCATTAAAATCACTTTTAGAATGCATATACAAAGGCTTTAAATAAAATGTTACCAACAGTTTTCCAAAAATTCTTCTAGCAGTTATTAATTAATTTCAACATTTATTAATACATTATTAAAACCAAAATTTACTGTATATCCGTTAATATGATTTAATGAACTGAGCTGATATGAACAGTTGTATTTTTATTAACTAACATTAACAACAATTGTGCATTAGTTAATGACAATTATTATATTAAGTGTCGTTAACTGATTGGACCTTATTGTAAAGTGTTTCTGAAAACATTAAATATCATCTTTACACATTTGTTCCCAAAATATGGTTAGGTAGGTTAACACATACACATTGTTGGGTTTCTGTGTTTTATGGGGGCATTCCATAGGCATAATGGTTTTTATACTTTACAAAATGTATGTTCTGTTCCCTTACCCACCCTATCTTTAAACCTATAACCCCACCTTCTGCTATTTTAGATTTACTATTTTAGAACTTCATTCTGTACAGGTATGATTTATAAGCTTGTTTCCTCATACACTGTAAAAAGTAATGAGTTGAACTTACTTGGAAAACCTGTGGAAACTGATTGCCTCAAATTTCTCAAGCAAATTAGTTTATAATTTTTGAGTTAATAAAACTTACTGTAACTTTGTATAGGTAACTTGTGTATATGTATAGGCTACCAGAAAACTTGAGTGTTGCTAACTCAATTTGACAAGTTCAGCCAACTTAGAGATTTAAGTTAAGCTTAGTGCACAGAACTCAAACAAAACGGTTCTCTTAACAAGTCTGCTTTGTTCACATTACTAGACAAATGTGTGGAAACAGATTGCCTTCAATTGCTTTGTTCACATTACCTGTACTCAAAACTTGAAGTTGTTAATACAAAGACAGAAAACTGATTGTTAGCACAACAATAGGGCATTTATTTGTTTAAAACAATGTTACGTCAAGTCATTACTTTTTAGGCATGCTATCAAATCAACAATTTAACACTGTAAGGTAAATTGCACATACTGCACTCAGGAAATAAATAGAAAAAAGAAAAAAAATTAACATCCCTTTTATGACACCTTGTAAATCTAGATTTACCATTTTCTAGAATTACCTTTTTCTAAATCAATAATGATCAATCATGAACAATTACACTGAAAAATGCTCCATCATGCCACAATTACATCTTTCTACATCAGAAGATTTTTCAGAGATTGCATTCTAGGTTCAGCCATCGAAGGAAATCAAAGGTGTCCTTCAGTACTGGAGGATACTATAATTTCATAGCATAAATCCAAGTCCAAAGAGCAGGCATATCTTGGGGAGGATTTTCCAGATCATCCAATACATTTGTACCTTCCAAAATTATTGCAGTAGACATGGCATTAAATGCAGTGAGTTAGGTATGACTCTAGAGTC